TTTGAAGATCTCTTCTAGATCCTTAGCATGTGTGGTGGCTTTTCAGCTTTTGACTATCATGTCATCGGCATATGCCTCCATTGTCCTGCCGAGCACAGCTTTGAAGACCCTGGCCACCATACGGGTGTAGGTAGCGCCTGAGTTCTTGAGCCCAAATGCCATGACTAGATAGCAAAAAATGCCTTCCGGGGTCATGAATGCCGTTTTCTGGGCATCAGATTCGTTCATGAAAATTTGGTGATAGCTTCGGAAGGCATCCAGGAAGCTCATGAGCTCACAGCCGGCTGTCTCATTGACGAGTAGATCGATGTTCGACAATTGGAATGGATCTATCGGGCAAGCCTTGTTGAAGTCAGTATAATCGACACACATGCGAAATGTCGGTGGCTTGGGTGCCAGGACGACATTCACTAGCCAATCCGGGTATTCGACTTCGGCGATATGATTTATGCTAAGGAGCATAGCCACCTCGGCCTTGACGAATTCCGGCCTGTCCGTATACAGGTACCACTTGCGTTGTTTGATGAGCGTCGCTGTTTGATTCCTGGCATTTCATCAGGACCTAACATGAAGATAACCTTGTATTTAACAAGAACAGAGATTATTGCTTGCCTCAGTCCCGACTTCAGATTTGTTCCGATCTGAACAGCCCTTTCTGGATTGGCCTGGTCCAGGACAACCGTCTCCAGCGTGTCCACGAGCTTGGCTCGGGGAGTTTCCTCTTGAATTGCTGCCTGGGAAATGGTGTTGATGTGCATGTCTTTGGCAGTCATCCTCTCAGTCATCTTCATATAGCATGATCAGGCAATTTTCTGGCTTCCCCTACAGTAGCTGACCCTAGACTCAGTTGGGAATTTCATGCATAGGTGCCGCATGGAGATCACTGCCTCCAGATCCTCCAGTGCTAGCCTTCCAAGTATCACATTATGAGCACACTCGAGTCGCACCACCACGAACTCTACGGGGATCTTGGAGTGGTGAGATTCGTCCCCAAATTTATGGAGTCACCGGTAAATCTGAGGAGGGGAGTTCGGATGGGCCTCAAGGAGTTAAGGTGGAGGTCCAGCTCATGGAACGTTTGTATGTAAATGATATTAACAGAGGATCCAGTATCAACATAGGCGTAGTGAATGATGGCCGCGTTCACCTCACATTTCACCACCAAAGCATCCCTGTGGGGAGAAGGGAAGTCTGGCAGGTCACGGTAGGTGAATGAGATCACATCCGACCTTGCTCTTTTGGAAGCAGGTGGGGGGTTTGTGATTTCCCCCACATAGAGCTTGTTGTTCTATTTTTTCCTTTGTGAGGCGGTGTCACCTCCTGTGTTTCCCCCGACGATCATCCGGACCTCATGTCGGCGCCGCTGATTGCGCCTGTTATCCTCGGCCGAATCATCATCGGAGATCAATCCAATATCCTTCTTCCTTGGGGAGCGGTCTGGTTCCCGCTCCTCATCCCTGGATCTGCGTTCGTGGCCACGCTTCTGTCCGTATTCCGGTTTCCGGACAAATCGTGTCAGGTAGCCTCGGTCGATCAATTTCTCGATCTCCAGCTTCAGCGTATGGCATTCATTTGTTGTATGGCCATGAAACCTGTGAAATTTGCAGTAGGGGCCTTCCTGATCAGCCGCCTCCAGAATATGGCTGACAGAATGGGTCAGCGGGGTCAAGACCTCAAGTGTCATCAGCTTGGGACCAGTCCAGGGACGTCTGTTTCTGAAGTTGCCCCTGCCTCAGTGCCTGTCATTGCAATCGCGGGGCTTTTCCTCCCGCGGCTGTTTGGGCTTTTCCTGCTGCTTCTGCTCCTGAAATTGGGGGATTGGCACCATTTTCCTGTGCCCTTTTGCGGCTGTGCACTTCCTCCGCTAAGGCATAATTCTGCCCGCGGTGAAGCGCCCACTGATAATCCCGTGGGGGATCTATGATAAGGCTCCTGCAGAAGGCTCCAAACCACAGAACTTCCTGCAGCATGGACAGACGGGTGTTGTCGTCTGCCCCATAGATTTTGGAGGTCTCTTCGTTCCAACGCTCGAGGAACTTGCTCAATGGCTCATCCCTTCCCTGCTTGACGGATAACAAGTAGGAGAAGTGCCTCTTTGTCTTTGCTCTGGCGGCAAAATGGGTGAGGAAGCGGGTGGCCAACTCCCTCCATGAGTCAATGGACTCGTCAGGCAGGTCGTTGAACCACTCGCATGCCTCCCCCTCTAAAGTGGAGGGAAACATCCTGCAAATGTACTCGTCTCTACCGCCCAACATATACATGTCGGACTGGTAGCGAATATAGTGCTCCTGGGGGTCAAATTTACCCCCATAGAGTTGGATGTTGGACCCCTTGTACTTTGGGGGTACAGGGGCCTGCATTATCCGGGCGGTAAAAGGGGTAGCAGTCCTTACCCTCACCATGATGGGCTCATGGTTGACCTGAGCCTGCAGTTGTTGGACCTGGAGTGCCAGTGCCTCCAGCTGGGCATCACGGGCCGTATGCTAGGGGGTGGTGGTGGTGTCGCTGTGACTGCTGCAGCCCGCAACTCATTGACCTGCTGAGTAAGGAGGCGGATCTGCTCCTCCCTAGGATCCACCTGGCGCTGGCGCCGTGGTGGAGATTCAACTTGTCGCCTTGGCGGTGAGAGCCTTGGTTGGCGCAGGGGTTGTTGCTGTTGTTAGCGCGGTGGAGAAGCGCGTTGCTGCCTTGGGGGAGAAAGCATCTGCTGATGGCATCGGGGGGCGAACCTGGGGGAACGATTTCCCCCTAGCCTCTCCAAAGCGGGTATACGCTCTGGAGTCCTTCTCCCTGGTTGTTGTTGTTGTTGTTGTTGTTGTTGTTGCTGGGGGATGCTGAGAACTGGGGAATTCGCCCGGTTGATCCCCCGAATGTTGACAGATAGGCGCTGATTCGCCATAGATCTGTCCCCCAATCTGGAGAAGATGGGACGCCTTCCCACTTCAACCCAGGGATTGGGGTTGTCATCCTGTTGCTGTCCCTGCGGGAAGAAGGACTGTGAGGAGTCCTCCGTGGTGACGGCATAGGCGCTTTCATCATTGCGGCAACCGTAATCAACACGGCGTGCCGTGTATTTCGTCGACAATGCGGGATGAGGTGGTGGAGCCATCCTCTGCGGTGCCGCAGTGGGGTGGGAAGCTCCCGCCTGTTGTGCTAGAGGCACATCGTTCACAGGTGCTGCAGATGCCACTAGTGGAGTAGCCCTCTGATGAGGGGGAGATTGATAGACCATCTATGCTGACCTATCCACCTCCAGAGGGGCGTCAATGGAACCCACCCTCAGAGACCGGGATCTAGAGTTCGCCGGCGAGACAGGCCTAGTGGCCTGAGGAGCCACATCAGTTGTTGGCTGGGATTGCAGCGTGGGTAGCACCTGCTGTAATCCAGAGATGAGGGCGCCAACCGCCGCAGAGGGATCCACCATCAGAAGATTCTGAAATTGTGGGATCACCTGTGCGGGCGGCATTGCTGTTGCATCACGATTCAGCGAGATCTGTTGACGGAGATCTGGAGAAGCACGCTAGATCTGGCTGCGGAGATCAGCAGAAGTTTCAGCGACTTGCTTTCCCCTGGCGACCCTCCTGGCACCAGAAGTAGCAGTAGCTTCCAGCGAGGGCTAAACCCTTGCGACGGCGGTAGCAGCACGTCGGGTTTTCACAATTCTCTTTCCAGCCATTGTTGAGAAAAGGTTTGTTGTTGATCGGGAGAAAGATGCGGGCGGATCTGACTTGTTCACAGTTCGGCTCTCAATGAAAGCACCAAAAACGAAGGATCACCGGACCGGGGGTAGTCGGAATCCAAACGGAATAAGAGAGTGAACTGATCGGAATATACACACAGATAATCTGGTAGTATAACAGTAGGAGAGTAGAGAATGTGATCCCTTTCCACAAGCTGGAAGGTGATATTTATACTAAGGGATAAAAGGCAATACTTGCCCAAGTAAAAAGATACTGATCAAATGGGAAGGGGACACGTGTAAAGCTATTCTAATAAACTATCAGTCTAATTCGATGGGGAGCAGCCACGTGTAAAGGTGATTGGAGAGATAGTCTTGGAGAGCTAGTTGATTGGAATTATCTCTAACAAACTGCTACCAGAATACCTGTGTGGTTAAGCGTGTGCATTCTGGCACATTATCTGCTGCTAGTGATGACGTGGCATTACTTCCTTGCGGTGTTGGTCCTTGCGGATTTGTCTCTAAGTACATAATGCTTTGGCCTGACCTTGAGCTTTACCGGGGTCAATGATTGGAGACTCGGGCTCATCACGAGGGGATTTGCCTCCTGTCTATTGTTCTGCCTTTGACGTGGTTGGCCGCTCGATACTCTGACTTTGGTTGCCCATATGATTGACCTCCGAGGTCGGGCTCGGTGCCGAGCTCGGGCATTCGAGGTCGGGCTCATAACTTGCCGAGTTTGGCCCATTCCTGAGCCTGGTGTTTTCCCGACCTCGAGGTCAGGGTCGGATGACTTTTTGGCCCTTGGTCATTTTGCTGTCTGGCGCTCATTCCTGACCTTGGTCGGTCGGGGTCGGGGTCGGTCCGATTGTGGACTTAGTCTTTTCATGCACTCCGGTGTGGCCCCATGATGCTTTCTCATCGGCGATTATGATACCCCTGGGGTATACGGGAATATACTCCATCACTTAATAATATAGAAATATAGAAAACAATTAATAGAAATATAGAAAAGAGATAACAACTTTAAATTTATTTCAAGTTGAACTCAGGTACGCATTTTTAATACTTACAAAAAAATTAATTCACATTTTTTATTTTTTTTACATCGGAATGTTTGAAGTTTTAAACAATAATTATTGGTCAAAATAAAATTAACACATAAATGATGTGTAATAAAATAACCAAGGATTTATGCATTTAATTAAAAAAAAAAGTGCTGAGTGATATATTAACAATGCTGGGTTGCTGAGAAAAACTAAACTTAGTGAGTGAATACGTATAAATTGTAGAGGAATTGGATTTATTGACTGAGTGAGTTGAGTTAACCTAATGCCCTTAATAATTGTTAAAAGAACAGCTGCAATCCGCGTATGGATATTTTGGCAAAAAAAAATCTTATCTGAGTGTTGTTGATTTTGAGCAGCATGACTTCAGCGATTACGTTCTCAGCATCATCATTATCAACACGTCCAACTTCTTCAACTAAAAGGACTTCTCGATCTTCTTCCTCGTGTAAATATAGCCTTCTTTGGTGGAAGAATCCATTAAAGCTCTGTCCTTCGCCGAGAAGGAGCAGGCAATCGGAGAAACCGTACAGCCTCATTTGCAGGGCTGCTGAGTACAAATTTCCCGATCCGATTCCCGAATTCGCCAATTCTGTCAGTTCAATTCTCGTGAACCCAACCGCCATTTGTTCCTATATATTTAATACATACTTATAGTCGGCAAAGTTTCCATCTTTGCAGGAAACAGAGAAGTTCCGGGCTCATCTTCTTGAGAAGCTTCACAGGAAGAAGGAATTATATGGTGACTCCATTGAAGAAATTGTTGGTATTTGCACGGAGGTACCAGTTTTTCTGCGCTGTCATTTTACGAATCATGAGATTATTCAATACAAAATTTTCATTCCTGCGATTTTTGCCATCTTATTTTATTTCTTGATTAGAGTACCCTTTTCTAATATTTCAAGATTGGATATATGCCTTTTATAATTTTCTCTACATTTACTAACACTAAATTTCATGAAATTGGCTTAATTCTCACTGGGAAGTCAATTATTGTGCCTAATTGAATAAATGAGTAAATAGTAATGGGTCACAAAGCATAGGCAGGGTAATACTTATGAAGTTAGGACACTGACTAGTGTTTTTAAGTCTGATCTTGTTTGGTCTCCGGATTTTGATCTTGTCTATTCTAGTTGTACATCATGCATATTATTATTAGGAAAAATGGAAACAAATAATCCATAAAAAAGCCAACCTTTATATAATATCTTCCCTCTTTGGTAGCCGGATGACTTTCTACCGGCTACAGCAGTCTATTTTTAAAAACAATGGTCATTTGACTTGAAACAAATTTTACCCTAAATGTTTTTTACCTTCAATTAAATATTACTCTGTACCTTAGAATTAAAATTACTTACGACTACTGAACGGGCTGGGAGATGGAGAAGCGACGATGAACGTCAGACGGTGGAAGAGAAAGCTGGCAACGGTGACAGAGGACGACGTCTTTCGCCATTGAGTTTATTACAGGTAATAATTTAGAACTCTGCTAACTACAAATCACTCCATGGGCTGAATTCAGGTAACCGGAAGGGAGGAGATACGTTAAGAAAGCTTGCAGACAATATTTAATGGCAAAGAAATTAGTCCTGGAGAAGATAGATAGGTGGGAGGGATGAGATACGGTAAAGGCATCGTTTATAACCCTTATCCGGTTACTAAACACGGAATTACCTTTTATAACCGGTAAATTTGAGTTAAGGACCATATAATGAAGATAGGATGTAAACGTTGGCTTTTTTTTGGATTACTCAAAGGAGGGCTCGCTTAAAGAAGACCGGAAATAGGTGGGATTATTTGTTTCCATTTATCCTTATTATTTTTATTGTTGTTATTATTATTATGGGGTACTTAATATTGATCAGGTCTTATATGATCCATTCTAGTCTATTAAGCTGTAGTCTGGTGTGGTGTGATATGACCTAATTTGATTTGGTGAACAAATCCTAAATTTGAGACACGTAAATAGGTAGCGAAGGGAGTTTAGCCTCTCTCTAAGTAACTACTGAGGATCAGTTTGGATAAGGGTATGTGGGGGGGGGGGGGGGGCTTAGGTTATTTAATCTTGGCGAGTGGAGTAGAAATTTTGGAAAACAAGCACACAGTTAAAGTTACTGATCGTCATTTGCACAACTTCTAGTTTATTCCTTAAATTTTTATTATTGTGAAATGTCAGTGCACAATAGCATATAGACTTGGTCCTTAAAAATCCTCCAAAACCCTTTTATCCAAACATACCCGATGCAGTGAGCTCTGACTTTCTTTTCTAAGTTTATGATTAACAAAAATCCCTATATCCTTTTTATGCTGAACTGATCAAATGGTATTCCATTAAATAATGTCTTGATTTCCTTAAAATTGGAATGTCTTTGAACAGATCCTTAGCAAATTCCTCCACACAGAGTATGGTGGTCCAGGAACACTCATGGTCGTACCCTTCATTGACATGAACGATACCATAACGGAGAGGGGGTTGCCCGGGGGCCCACAAGCTGCACGCAAAGCAGTTAAATGGGCCCAAAATAACATTGATAATGATTGGAATGCGTGGAATGACAAAGGGAGCAGTTGAGTTGAAATATGTTGTATATTGAGTATCAGGTTCTCACGTAAGCAGTAATGTTCAAGGAGTTTTTAGTTGGAGTTTTGTTGGATTTGTTTAGAACAGGGTAGGTTGGAAAAATCAAACACTGCTCATGACCAGATCAAAATAGAGAGATGATGGCGATCTCTGCTGTATTTCTCAAGTTCGATATTCAATTTGTTGATGCATTTCCATTTGTGGAGTAGTTGGTTGTGTGGATAGATGTTTCCTGTATTTTTATCGTTGTTTCCTAGGAAAATATAGGTTTGGTCTTTGAGTAAGCTTTAGAATATCCTATCACCTTTAACTCCATGGTTGCGGCAATAAATTTTATTGAGGACTTAGCTCTATTTGATTTAAAAAGTGTGATCTGATCTGAGTTTTCTGATCTAGATGGTTTTAATCTTGCCTGAAATTTAACATTACCTTAGTTACGTCGTATTCAGTACTCACAGGAACTAAACTAGGGCCTAACCAACCGGCTTTGTTCACCGGAAACTGAAGTCCTAGACCTTGTACCCATAACCGGTTATTTTCTGACACAGAACCGAACCAGTTTTACCGGTTCTGATTTTTATCTTTTGTGGGGACTGGGGGGGGGGGGGGGGGGGGGGGGGGCAGCTCATTTGTCCAACCTATCTCAAGCTCATTTGTTTATTTGGATAGGAACTTACTAGTCTGATCTAAATTAAACAATTTGGTTTGGTTTTGGCTAAGTTCAGTGTGGTCTGATGTTTGTGTCTAATCTAGTGTATATGTGGTCTTGTGTGTTTACATGCGGTCTCACGGTCTGGTTGTTTCCGTGAACTCAAAGGTCCTTAGGTCCACCACTCTACTCATTTTAGGCTCAGTCCATTTCAGTGACTCAGTTCGCTATTCATTTAATGGAATAACTCCCAGAGAGTATATATGTTAACACAGAACGCATGCATTTACATTGTAAGACCGTGGTGTTCCCGTTATGAACGATTACAATGACTCAATGAGTCTGAATAGCAAGGATAACAAGGTTTAGGATAATAATGGGCTCAAAGGAAGGTTATTATTTGGCCGAAATTTAAGTACATTTGTGATAATAAAATTTGTGATAATTATGAAGTTTTTCACGTGAATATCAAGTCGGTGGCTTAGTATTTGACATGATTTTATTATCAAAATTTTATTATTACATCAAGAGTACCACTTGTAAGTCTAATTTATGTCCAAAGACAAGATTAGATGTTGCGCTAGGTATCATGTGATGGGGATTGCTAATATTTAAAATTAATTATCAAGTTGATTTCAGTTTCTAGAGCATGTCATTTATATTATTTTTGTTCTCTTTCAGTCAACAATTCTGCTGCTACAATATCTGCTAATATTAATAGCATCTCAGTGCTTAACGACACGAATTTTAAGGAATGGAAAGAGAACGTTATGATCGTTCTCGGCTGCATGGATCTAGACCTTGCACTTCGGACTGAGAAACCCGCCGCTCTTAAGGACATATCTACCCTTGATGAAAAGAGGGAGATGGAGAGGTGGGAACGCTCAAACCGCATGAGTCCAATGATCATGAAATGTGCAATTCCAGAATCATTCAGAGGCACAATGTCTGATGAGGCTGATGCCAAATCGTTCCTTGCCGAACTTGAAAAGCATTTTGCTAAAAACGAAAAGGCGGAAACTAGTACTCTTTGAGCACTCTTGTTTCAATGAAGTATAAAGGCAAAGGGAACATAAGGGAGTACATTTTGGAAATGTCTCACATTGCTTCAAAACTAAGTGCACTAAAGCTTATTTTACCTGAGGAATTGCTTGTGTATTTAGTTTTGATCTCTCTTCCTTCTCAATTTAAAGTCAGTTACAACTGCATTAAGGAGAAATTGTCTCTCAATGAGCTCATTTCTCATTGTGCTCATTTCTCTAAGTACTCGTGGTACTAAAAGAAAATTAACCAATGAGAATTCGTTTTCACTTTGGCACAAGCGTCTAGGACATATTTCTAAATAAAGAATTCAGAGACTTATGTCAGATGGAATTCTTGATTCTCTTGACTCCTCAAATTCTGATATTTGCGTTGAGTGCGTTAAGGGAAAACAAACGAGCAAACGGAGATTAGGTGCCGAGAGAGCTTCAGATCTATTAGAATTGATATATACAGACATTTGTGGACCATTCCCTACACCATGTAGAAATGACCAAACATATTTTATCACATTCATAGATGATTACTCTCATTATGGTTACCTTTATCTCATTCATGAAAAGTCCCAATCAATAGACGTGTTCAAATCTTATAAGGCCGAAGTTGAAAATCAATTAGGCAAAAGAATACAAATCGTTAGATATGACTGTGGTGGTGAATACTATGGTAGATATGATGATTCCGGTGAACAACGTCGAGGGCCATTTGCTAAAATCCTAGAGGAGTGTGGAATTGTTCCTCAGGAACTCCTAGCATGATTGGTGTTGCTAAGAGACGAAACCGTACATTGAAGGACATGGTTAGGAGTATGATTTGTCATACTACTTTGTCAGATTCTCTCTGGGGAGAGGCACTGAAAACTGCAGCTTACATACTTAAGAGTTCCCACTAAAACTACAACTAACCCCTTATGAAATTTGGACCGGAAAGAAATCCAGTATAAATCGTTTCCATGTTTGGGGTTGTCCAGCTGAGGCAAGGCCTTATAGGCCAAATGAAAAGAAACTGGACTCAAGAAGAGTTAGTAGCTATTTTGTAGGATACTCTGAGAGATCAAAGGGGTACAAGTTTTATGATCCCACTACGAGGACTATTTTTTAGATGGGTAATGCCCGGTTTTTTGAGGATATTGAGTTTGGGGGGGTGGGGTGGGGAGATAAGGTTAAAGATTTTGTCTTTGAGGAAGAGCATGTTACTCTTCCTTCAGTTGTCATTGAACATGATCAAGATATTTTTATTCCTAATGATGTTCAAGAAACAACTCCAGTTAATGACAATCTCGAAAACATCCCCAACCAAGTACCTGAATTTATTAATGAGGATCAAACTCAACAACCTCAATAACCTGAGGTGCCATTAAGGAGATCCACTCGAGAGAGGAGAAGTGCAATTCCGGATGATTATATTGTATTTCTCCAAGAACATGACGAAAATTGGGAATTGGTGGAAGAAATAATTGTCTTCCTCCAAGAACAAGAATCGGATGTTGGTTTTGCGGAAGATGATCCAATCAACTTCCGTCAAGCCATGGAAAGTTCTAACTCTCAAGAACGGATTAATGCCATGAAAGATGAGATGAAGTCTATGACTGACAATGACGTTTGAGAGTTAGTCTCATTGCCTGAAGGTATTAAACCCATTGGTTGTAAATGGATATTTAAAATCAAGAGGGATTCATAGGGCAATATTACAAGGTTTAAAGCTCGTCTTGTTGCTAAAGGCTACACTCAAAAGAAAGGAATTGACTATAAAGAGACTTTCTCTCTGGTATCCTCGAAAGACTCTTTTAGAAAAATAATGGTATTAGTGGCACATTTTGATCTTGAGCTTCATCAAATGGATGTAAAAACTGCATTTCTCAATGGTGACATTGAGAAATCAATCTATATGGATCAACCAGAAAACTTTGTTTCGGGAGATTCAAACAGGCTTCTCGTTAGTGGTATCACAAGTTTCATAAATTCATTATATCTTTTGGTTTTCAACCAAACGTCCATGATGATTGTATATACCACAAGTTCAGTGGGAGTAAGCATATTTTCCTAGTCTTGTATGTTGATGGCATACTGTTTGCTAGTAACGATATAGGCTTATTGCACGAAACAAAGAGATTTCTTTCAAATAATTTTGAAATGAAAGATCTTGGTGAGTCTTCTTTTGTATTAGGAATTCAAATACACCGAGATCGCTCCAAAGGCGTTCTTGGACTCTCACAAAAGAGCTATATCGATAAGGTTCTCAAAAGGTTTGGTATGCAAAACTGCAAACCAGGAGATACCCCAGTTTCTAAGGGAGACAAGTTTAGTCTCATGCAGTGCCCTAAGAATGGTTTTGAATCTAAAGAAATGAGGAACATTCCTTATGCTTCAGCTGTAGGAAGTTTGATGTATGCTCAGGTTTGTACAAGACCTGAATTAGCATATATTGTTGGGATGTTAGGCAGATATTTGAGCATTCTGGGAATGGACCATTGGAAAGCAGCCAAAAGGGTCATGCGGTATTTACAGAGAACAAAGGAATATATGCTCACATAGCAGAGATCGAATCGGCTTGAGATCATTGGGTATACCAACTCTGATTTTGCTGGATGTCAAGATTGTAAGGAATATTTGTATTTAGATTTTGATGATGCTAGATTAATTAGGACTTTAGAGTACCCCTATTTAGACTTAATGTATTAGATTTTTCATTTGTAAAGTTCTTAGTGTAATCGACTTGGCAGAATGCCTTCAGAACAGAAGACCTTCTGAGCAGAAGGGCTCCAAGAGCAGAAGACCCTCTTAAGGAATTATTGAAACAGAGGACCTTTGGTTCTCTGCTCCAGAACAGAAGACCTCAGGGTCTCTGTTAACCTTTACTCTGACAGAAACCCTTCTGGGTCTGTGTTGGATATATTCTCAACAGAAGTGCTCCAGACCTCCTCTGTTCAACTCTCAGTTAAAGACACCAGAAGGTCTGACACTTAGAAGAATTCCACAGAACCGGGAAGTCAACTAAAAGATTCCTTCAACGGCTAGGAGTATTGAACGGAAAAGCTACAGTACGCGCATTAAATGCTCATTTAATGCTCCCCATACTCCGTAGAGTAATTGCAGATGATTGGCCGCAATGTCAGGAATACTTTATCCCAAAATAGTAACCCGCCAACTTTACCGGGCTCTACTAGTCAAGTCAACTGATCGCTCATTTAATGCAGTTGTCCTCCTACTCCTCCAACGGGAAGACAACCTCAGTATAAAAGATACACTACGAAGAACAACCGGATAACTTTGCAACTTTTGCTACACATTGCTACAACTCTTCATACAAGATATTCAAACTCTGAAAAGCAAAAAGCCTCCTTGAGATTAACACTTCATCATCTTCTACAAGAGAAGGCAGAAGTTGGAAAAATACTTTTTCCAACTCAAGCAAAGTTCCAAGTGTTCTTCAACTCTTCAAGCTCATCACATACAAATCCTTTGTAACGAAGCTAGTTGGAGGAACCCCTGTGTTAACAGAAACTCTTCTTGCTACAAGAAGGACGTCCAAGTAACTTGAGTAGTGAAGTGGTGATACTTCCTGGAAGCTCAGTGAAAGGACCAGTCTTAAAGGAAGCCAGGCAGTGCATCCCAGGAGACATCTAGGCTTGAAGAAGACGTGGAGAGCTTCTTAAGTGATAGGACTAAGGCTTTGTAAACGGAAGTTTTTACAGCTTAGTGGAAC